AAATGATTCCAGTCTCCAGTGATTTTGATCAAGATATATACATGTATAAATGTGTGTGTGTGTGTGTGTGTCAATGTCTGTAAGAGATAAAAAAAGATCTCATCGAGACCTGCTGCTGAAGATGAGTTTCTCATCTTGGCAATTATACCCATGACTTCCTTCACTGCATGCAGTTGGATCAAACCTCAGCAACAGAGAGCTCCTTTGTATCTGCTCGAGAGCCATTAGTGTGACTAATCTTTCTAGAGAAAGATGAGCCAGTATTCATAAACTCACTCACTCAGTGAATTCATACGTATTATCACAAGAGTTCGACATTCAGCACCAAACTGAGTGAAGAGCTTAAAATGGCTGCTTCTTCTTTAAAGGAGATCGGATGACTTTTGTTCTAATAATGGGGAACAACCTTTTCTTTTCCTTATTACAGAGATCGGGTGATAAGCTTAGCGCATGTGTGAATTAATTGCTCGTCTTTATGTTAAAATACCCATCATGAATTTTTTAGCACGTTAGCAGCACATTAGTTAGCACTATCAGGGCAAAGCAAGAAGATTCGAAGTTCCAACAATAGACTGAATACAAAGATAATATGACGGCTCCAAAAAGTGAAGCCATGTCATCTTGATCGCCCCCTGTTGGCTGGCTGCAATATAGGTCATAAACCCTTCCTCCTCCGTGTTAGCAGATGGGACCAAAATAAAAAGTCAACGTACATGTTAGATAAGTTATTCTCGAAGACGGTTTCTGTCATTTTAGAAACTGACACATATTCGAGTGTTAATTTTTCCAGTATGTTTGGTTTTAAAAAGTTATTTGATGTTATAAAAATGGGATAAAAACGTCAGGATTGACAACAGAAACTGACTCGCAATTGGCCGAGCACATGTGGAACCTTAATATCACAGCACACACCCAAATGTCATTAAAAGTGCAAAATGGCAGCACCTAGATCCAGGTTAATTTGAGAGGAAAAGTAGACGCATCGTCCATCTTTATGTACAGTCAATGGTTCGATCCTTTCTAATCTTCTCCCTGGGCCTGCGTGGGTTTAATCCAGGTACTTCAGCGACATGCAGGTTAATAAAGGACTTTAAATTACCTGCTGGTCTAAGTGTGAGTGTGAATCACTGTTTTATTTGTTGACCCTACAGTGTGTTGTCAATTGTGCCACAACATGTTACTTTGAAGCTGGGAAATTATCCTCAGATGGAAGAAAATACATCAGGTGCCTTGAGAAGATCAGCCCAAGCTTTGAACCCAGTTCAGACTGATCTTGACTAATTCTGTGCTTTTGTCAGTTTAATATGGGACAACAGACTTGTGTGTTTATTCTTGCTTGTCAAGTACTTTTTAAACAAGGTCTTAAAGATATTTGATTGATTCATAGACCATTAATCAAAGTGTGCACTCTTCCTGCTTTGAAGCAATAAGATTTTAATACTTCAGAGGATTCATAATAGGAAGATTAAAAATAGCTCAACAGTGAGGCTCATTTAGCAAAAATAGGCCCGCTAGAATAGAGAGTGTAACTCCAGCTCTAGCTGCAGTTTAAAAAGACAAAGGCGATAGACTTACCTGCGACAGTGATGGCAGTCTGAGCTCAAATTACAGGCTCAGTTCTTAGTCAAATAATTAAATATTGGTGATGCCACCAACCGTCAAATTCAGACATTGATCCCTGCATGTTACCAGATAATGATACTCCCCACTGGGGTCAGTACGCTCTCCATGGTGTCGAAAATAAGTTGTTAAAGAATTCACATTTATTTCATAATTTAATATAATTTTAGGATCAGAAATGTTTTGAAGAGGGCCAGTCATTTTGACACTATGGAAACAAAGCTGAGATGGTAAAACAATGTTATTATGGGGTGAAAACAGGTTTGATTTGACATTTTGTTTTAAGAGATAATATACACTTCACGAAGAAAATGTCTCAGTGGTATACGGTTTGTGTTTCATACTTCTAGCCGTGTGTACACAGACACATCATATAGAGAATGTCAGGCTATTAAAAACATGGGGGGAGGAGAGGGATCGCTGTAAGGAAGTGAAAAAGGAAATTTGGGTTCATGTCAAAGAGCCAAATAGCTTTCAACACCCAGACTGACCTTCAGCGCACACACACGCACACACACACACACACACACACACACACACACACACACAAATGTTCACAGGATGTGGCCATAAACCATAATGCACATCCCTTATTACAGGGAGTGAGCCTTGGCTGTGTGCCATTTTAAATGCCACAGACTCTCCCACAGGGTAATGACTGATCTACCTGAATTTGTATGTAGCAGTGCTGAACACATTATCTACAAAGCTGATTGTAAAACTGGCTGGAGAGAAAGGCAGCATAAGATTTTCTGGTAATTGCCAAATGCATCTGAGAATGTCCATCAGTGTTCGGACGTTTCTCTCCTTTCAAGCTTCCAGCTGCAATAAGCAAAATAACTACACTCGTGCTAAAGCAGAACGTGAGCTAATAGTGACGATCCCACAGGAGAAGTCTGCAGCATCGTGCAGCTCTCAGCTCATTTGTGCGGCTTGTCAGTCAAGTGAAATCAAAATTCACACTCATTAAAAAAAAACACGTTCAGTTGCACATTTCCAACCGCATAATGTAATGAGTTAAAAAGTGGCAGGTGAAGAAAAACACAGCTTGACTAAAGCAATAAGATGAAAATATTTTCATAAATTTAGACATTCACATATCAAATTTTTTTTGTTTGTTGTTTATGTAATTTTACTGGGTTTTTAATGCTAATACTAAAGAGTAATGCTAATACTAAAGAGTAATTCACGTCTTCACGGTTGTATAAGCGTTTGAATTGTATGTGATGGAGCTCAGGAAGAGTAGTTGTTGCTAGGATACCAGCCAATGGTAAAGTACATAAACAATAAAGCCAAAGTAAAATTCTGGCTAACATTTGATTTGACCACTTTGAGCTTTGTTTCTAGTATTTTTAAACCTTACTTCAGCAATAACATATTAATGTTTAGCACTGACTAATGAAAAACACGACAAATACCTGCATTATGAAATAAATCCCTGACTCTGCTGAAAGCAGTGGAAAAGCAGGGAGCTGGACCGTTTTCTTGCTCATTCTGATGAGGCATGAGATGGCCGGCAATGCCAGTGACAAGCAGATCTTGTCAACGTAAGCTGCTGTGGGAGCAAAAAAAAAAATACTTGCGCTTGGCCCCCCTGAGCAGGATGAGCGGCAATGCCTTGACCCGTGAGATGCAGAGGGAATTGAGGTGGAAGAGGGGGGTGAGAGCGAGTGACATAGTGAAATGCTGCCTGGTGAACAAGACGGGCTGGACTGGGTCAAATGGATCAGGATAACCGATCCAAACACTGCGCTAATGTGTAGCACTGGAAGCTTGTTGTGATCAATGTATATGACATAAGAAGAGCATGCAACAACTCTGCACAGGCAGAGAATGATGACGTAAAAGAGAGGACATGTAATTCAACATATTGTAGGTATGATGGATCATAAAAAGCCTATTTTAGGGATGTCGATGATGATGGAACTACTCTGTATGTTTGTGATATTCTGAAATATATATTGAAGTTATTATGATTTATGTGAACATCAACAATACAGTACAGCACAGTACAGTACAAAACACAGTACAGTGCTGTTGCAGGTAAACATGTGAAATGTCACAGATTCAGAATAAAAGGTAACCAGGGTTATTTGTGGATTGTAAAAATGTTATGTCATCAAAATAAAACCACAGGGAGCGTTTTTAAAAAAAACTCATTTTGCTACTTGATCATTTTTCATTAAACAAATCTGAAAAATTCAGTATTAGGGAAACATCACCAGATTGTCTATTAGGAAAATGTAAACGGAAAAAGAATCAAGCTGCAGGTGTATTAATGGTGAACCATTCTCCACAAGCAGGTTCAACAAATCTAAAATCAAAAGCTGCTGATTCATAAAACCACAAGCTACTCTCGGTTTAAATAATGTAGGTGCAGTTTTCCCTACAGCATTCTGTGCTTACGACAGCACGCCCATAAAACTGTATCAGCATATCTTATCAAGTTCAGCCTTTTATTCAAGACTTGAGCTTTTGACAGAATGAAATGAATAAACAATTTAAACACAACTTAAAACATAAAATCAAACAAAAGCACATGAGTAGCCTGATTTTACACTTGAGGTGTAGTGTAGCAGGAAAGTGCAAGAGTGTGAAAACCTCTAGAGAAAAGACTTTTAACAGTATTTAATCAGTAACAGTATATATTGCTGATATAGACTGAAACTATTAGCATCAAACTTATATTCATATATTTTCATATTTTTCAAGACCTGCCGACATCCCACTCAATATGCCCTTCATTTCATTTTTTTGTCTTTTCTAAACCTCTTAAAACCTTTTTAACTGTGCGTCATTTTCACAAAAATGGAGATGGGGCCATCAGATTCATTTGGGTGAAATAAAAAAGGGCACATGTACTGCTACATTTTAGTTTCAACCTTTCCTTCTCCATCGATCTGGAAAGATCTGTGAGAGGCACAGCTGCATAAACAATCCTCTCAAGTCTTTAGAGGGTTTTGAAATATTAACAAAAGAGCTTGCAGGTACATCATTTTGCAGCAGCAGCAGCTATGGCAGCAGAGGGAAAACGTGTTTGAGACCTATTATAAATCACACAATACAGCAACAACATAGCACATCCAGGCCCTGCTTGTCCCCCAGGCAACCTGACAGCAAAATCCCGTCTTTACAGATGGCTCACAGAGACAATCTGTACATGTGTACTGTATGTGGGAGGGTGCTTTGTGTGTAATTCTGTTTCATTAATGAAAATGTAGTAATCAGGATCTGTGCCTGGCATTATAATTTCTGTTACATGTCTACATAAATGCAGAGGAGAAGGCTGATGGAAAATAAATAAATAATAAAAATCCTTGGTCGGCTCGGGCTAATTTCATACACTTCACTTCCCCTGACATGAAAGAAGTAGGACTTACAGATCTTGTGCCTCCCTTTCATGGGGAATTTCACCAGCAGCTCCTGAGGGTTGGTGCAGATGAAGACGAATGGGGAGGCGGACTCCTCACAGGTATCAGGGAACTTCAGGAGAGAGGGGAGAGAAAATTGCAGTTTAGCAGTGGCCATATTGTGCACAGAAAATGTAAATACAAAAAATAAAAAACATGCATAATGCCCTGCATCACAGTTATGAATGATTCAGTGAGTGTCTCTATTTATACGCCTTAATCATGCTAGATGTCCTCCTTGCCTGATGTAATGCTACATGCCTGACAGCAACTGATAGTTATGAATCTCGCTGGGTCTTATGTGCTATAATTACACGACTAATGATGCAGTTGCTAATGAGAGCAGTTGCACCACTTGCGAGCAGTAAGGATGAGACTACATTTACACAACCAGCACCAAAAATCCAACATATACAATTACTATTTCAGACACAATCTTTCGCATCCCAAAATTAAAATTATTAAAACCACTTATTAACTAAACAGCATTTTACATTCATATCATAATTTACTAAAAGCTTCCTGCGAAATCTGCAGAAATGCATCACATTTAACTACGTCTTGGACATATTTATGCACACCATAAAAGCTGCCATACCACATTCCGATGAAGGAGAAGGTGTTTTACAGCAGATAATTGACAGCAGCCTACAGCATACCGAGGCCCAGAGACAAGAGGAAGACTCTCTCTCGCTGTGTTATTGATTGATCTCGCAGGTGAGAGTAGGGAATTGACTGACACAGTGACAAAGGAGTCATCTTTCCCATCACTGGCAGCCAAAGGCTCTCAGCTCATCCAATTTCCTCCGGCGCTATCAGATAGTGCCCATGATTGCATCTAGCCAGCCAGGAAGCGGCTCTTTTCATGACAGCATGCTTTTTTCCCCTCTGTCTCCCACTTCTCTTATTCACAGCCTCCCTATCTCCCTCAAAGGAGCACTGAAGGTTGTGACAAATTTGGGGCTTTTTAAGGAAAATCAACACAGTGGCCAACCCATCTGTATGAACCCTGACAAACTGGGCAAAGATGGTAGAGATGTTTATTTCTGATTACAGTCTGTGTCAACTTCATCGTAATACACTGGTGAATGATAAAATAAGTAAACACTCTGAGTCATTAGACATCAATGGCAACCCTGAAAGAGCCCCTTGATCCCATTTTGGCAAATGACAGTGATTCCAATTAAATTAGATCTCCCCGTCAAGTACATCCGCTCCTAGATTTCCCTGAACAGCTCTTCAACAAAACTATCCAACCCAGGATTGTTGTTGGGTTAAACAAGGTAAAGGTTGTCAGTGTATTGTTTTGCTTATCGTCAACAAATCTCATTAAAAAAAAAAAAAAAAATCAACAGTAGTTCATCTTTGCTTTCTATCTATTCTACTCCCTGTGTGGCTAAAGTCTGATCTGTCTTAAGCCTCTGTACTACACAGCTCCATTGTTGACCAAACATGATCAATTACACTTCAGTGAGTCGTTAAACTGTGCAAAATGTTCCTTCATTGCCTTGAACACAGGCACTTACCACCGCCAAGGTGATGATGTTTTCACTCCTGTCTGTTTGTTGGTTTGTTGTCACAGGATTACACAAAAATTACTTTTCCAAGAAACTTGGCGGAAGGATGGGGCATGAGCCAAGAAAGAATCTTTGGTGGGTTTATCCAAACAAAGGATTTTTTCCCCCACTTTCTTTAATATTGTGTTTTTTTAATTTCCCCCAATTTCCCAGGGAATAATTAATAGTTCTTGGCATATTTAGGGGGGTGATATCTATGAGTGTGCGCAATTTCACGCAACTGATTGAATTGGCTGTTGGCCCTTGGCGGTGGTTTGCCCTCTACTGAGTGCCATTCCAGTTTATTTTGGGTCAGTCCCAAACACACCAATTCTACTGCCATTAATACTCTGAAAGACCAAAAATATGCACGAGGGTCAGTTCCTACTATGTGTTGTTGGACAACATCAAAGTTCCAAAGTGTTTATTGCTCTGAATGGCCGCACTTGATGCAGAGTTAAACGTTGTCTGGCACACAGAAGGGAGAGAGACTGTGGATAATGGGGCAGATTTTCCAACAGTCTCTTTAGAAAGACATTAAATAGTTGGGCTAGGTTGTTCATGTGAAAAGTACAGCGAATGGAATTAAAAAGAAGAATCTAGAAAGAAGTGCAAACCATGCATATTTTCTCAAGAACAACAGTCCAACAAGCAGTACAGATGGAGTATACTGGCCCAAGTTTTCCCCAACAATTGAGCTACTAATGCCTCTTTCCGGAACAATTTATGTAAATTACTCTGCCTTTTGAGAAAATAGAAATACATTTGTTACCTATTTACAAAAGTGCTTAGCGCAACAGATACAGTAAGGAAGTCTATATGATGCATTCAGTGTGATGACAGCCCTGCATGAAAACAGACACCTCATTTATTTCTGAGCCTCCGCACTGTGCAGTCGTAGCAAAAAGACTGAAGGCTTGTCAAGAAAATGAGATGAACCAGCTTCAAATCGATCAAATCCATGCCAACGCACATTCCTGGTATATTGACTGTTTACATTGCGATTTGTTGTATCAAAAGATAAAATAATTTCTGAAAAGAAAACACTGTGATAGCTATGCCTTCAAAATCTGTCTCTATTACTCAAACTGTATTTCCTGGATGGCATCTTCTAACAGAGCCTGAAAAAGTACTTCTCTCCTGTCTGCAGCGAGTGTATGTGTGTGTGTGTGTGTGTGTGTGTCTGCCCGTGAGTGCAGGTCAGCGGGAGAGTGGAGGGAGGACACTCAGACAGGAGACGCCGACATGGAAAAAGTCGACTGGACCTTTAATTTGCGTCTGTCCTGATCCTGAAGCAGCGGTGGTTATAATTATACAGCAGCGGGGTATTGCTACAAAAAAAAATGTAGAGGAAAACATTTATCGATTTAGTTCTGTCTCTGCATCGATGCAGAGTCGTCCAAGTCTGCATCAAAATGCATCTTAGAAACAAGAAATTTCCCCAACGCTAGTGTCTACCCTTTGTATGTTATATTCACATAGAGCCTACGTGTCCCCATGTAGCAATTAACACCCATCAGATTAGGAAGAAGGAATACCGTCTTTAAACCAGCCAGAGGGGACATGAAATTCCACCTACAATGTAAAGATCGATCCTGTGAACTGTTAAGACCAAGCAGTCCTTCTCAAACAGCTTACTTAGGTGAGCAGCCTAATCGAGTCTTCTTTTTAATGTACATGCTCAGCACTTGAGAAGACACTTTAATCCGGAGTGATTTAACTCTATGCACAGTGATTATTTTTAAAGAACCCTTAGTCATTGTCATTCATTGTTGGGTTTACACAAAATCTGATGCAATGCTATGGTTCAGCAGTGATTTGATTGGAACAGTACTCATAGATCTGGGTCTTGTGTGAGCAGCATTGAAATTGGGTCAACTGTTGGTTAAACACATACATCATCCTATGGTAGTGGGTGATGTCTGCCGCCCTAGAAAAAAACTAAAATCAAATACATTTTTAAAAGAACTTATAATACCAAGAGTATGGGTCTGGGAATGATCTGAAAGGGAAATAATGGAAGTGTATTAGTTAAGATGACGGGGTAGTTATAGACGATAAGTGATTCCAAAGGAAGAAGGTAACAAGAGACCCTTCTTGAAAAAATGTGTTCAGCCTCATTTGAGATCATTAAAAAGGGATCTCACGTTACACAAGATGGCTGTGTTGTCAGGGTGTTTATTCAAGGAAACAAAATGGTGGTGGTCTTGCCAAAATCAGATGAAATAAGCGTAGCTGCAGCAAGAGCCCGAGTGTGCTCATGTGAGACCAGGCCAGTTGCCTGCTCTTTCATCCTCCATTAGCTAATTAGCATTTAAAGCTGTTGAATGTGCTGCTCTGCCTCGCTACCTCCCCCCACCTAATTGTTTCCATTCCATGTTAATCAAAAGGGCACGAAACATTGTGGCTGTGTGACACGGTGGTTTGCTGAAGCCCTCCATATTCATCAGGAAGGATTTAATGTCGTCGGATTGGACCCCCTAACAAATGCAATTAAAGGCGAGCTTGTTGAGAAACACAGGTATTGAATTAAGAAATTGTTAGATGGATTTATGTGGAAACACAGTTGGGTGACAATGACTGTCACTCTGAATTTAGTTAAGAGTAATCCAGGGTCGTTAGTGTGACGGTTTCTTGGCATGGTAGGTCAGGGTTACAGCCCTGGGGCATTCTGGGTAGAGAGTCCCGAGTGTTTAACATGGGAGTGATCTGAGGGTATATGTATAGTGACTGTGACAGGTGCATTAAAATGCCTCAGCGTGAGTTGAGTATCACTAGTCGGTTGCTTCGGGCAAATTCAGTTGCCGTTAGAAGTCAGAGTGTAGTGCGACATGGACGCTGCAGCCTCGACTTGATCATAGACTAAACACAACGGAGCATGTTTACTGTGGTACGAGGCTCCAAACTGTTTTTATAAGATAGACCTATCCAGTCTGCACATACAGGATAAATCATCACGTATATATTTTAAAATGAAATCCCTCGACTTACTTTTCACTATTGCCATTTCTCTTTCGTAGTATTTTCTATAACTAGCTAGCTAAACAAAACCGGTTACTCCTAGCAACTCTAAGGTAACGTTAGAAAAGCTGAAATGTAAAAAAACCAATATGTTTAATGGAAAGTTATGTACTGGACTATTATCTTCATCAATAGCCCGTCACTTCCTTCAGTCGAATCATCCTTCACTTTGTACAGATCCAGGTTAGCCAGCTACTCGTGTTAGCTTCATATTTTACATACATTTACAGCAAGAAAGTGAATGAGCATATTTCTCACAATATGGAAGTATTTCTAAAAACGTAATTCAGGAGTTGATGTTTTGTAAAATGTTTCGTGTTAATCCGTTTTTTCTGGTCAGAGAATAAAAAAACCAGCATGAGCCCAAACAATTTAAAAGAGAAGCATCTTTTTATTTGCAGCCTAAACACACAAAGCTTTGATAATATGTGCTGAAGCGGAGCGAGTAGGCGTAGAGCAGACAACAATTGGCTTTAAATGTGGATACAGAACATTT